CCCCCTCCAGACCTGCATCCCGGGAGACCCAGAGCCGCCTGGTGGAGGCCGGCTGACGTGAGGAGGGGCTTCATCTGAAGAGGGATTAAAGATGACAACAAATAAATCATTATGACCCTTATAATTAACATTAGCCTCAATGTTGAAGGTAATAATTCAGATAAAGCAGTTTTGTAACACACCTGAACATCAAGAGTCTTTATTTATTCAGAACAGAGGGTTCATCTGACGAGGAAATAAAACCACCTGAACATCAAGAGTCTTTATTTACAACTTGTTATCACCCTCATAATTAACTTTAGCGTCAATGTTTAATTCAGATAAGTAGGGTCAGGGACGCGGGAAGTCAGTCAGGTTGGGGGTGCGGGGGGGTGCGGGTGCTAGTAGAGCCTCCCAGCGGCGAAACTGGCGCGCTTACACTGTAGGTGCACCGCGTTTGGGGGTGCGAGGGGGGGGTGCTGTAGCCCCCTCAGCACCCCCCCTTCCCGCGTCCATGAGTAGGGTTTGGTAACTTATTTGAATAAAACAAAGGGTTCATCTGACGCCCTTCTTCTTAGAAATAAAACGGCACACATCTGAACATCAAGAGTCTTTATTTACAACTCATTATGACCCTTATAATTAACATTAGCGTATATTTTGAAGGTAATACATTTGATAAATTAGAACGGAGGGTTTTGTAACTTTTAATAAAATAATAATTTCTATTTTGCCGTTTTTTAAAATGTTTTTATTGGACCTCATTCTGCTCTGATTGGTTAGCTCTGTTGTGATTGGTCAACCTACTCAGAGATGTCCCGCCCCTTTAGCCTATCACGTACAATGTGTTGAAGCACTAGCCACTAGCATAGTGATGTCTCCGTGTTCCGAAAGTAAACAAAGGAGTCCAATGTTATTTACTTATATAATGTATTTTGTCATTATTTTATACGAAATGTTGACTTTTTTATTTATATTTGACCTAAACTTAAATCAGATGATTAAATAAAAATAAAATAAGGTCTCTTTAAATCCATATTATTTCCACGGTCGGGAGATCATGAGACAATGACGTCATCTTTTGTCTTAAAACAAAGGGTGCGTTTGTTTAACAGACGAAGAGGTTCCCTTTCAGGCGGGCGGAGTTTGGAGTGGTGTAACACCGGTGTGACGAAGAATGCTGTCACCCGCTAACTCATGTGACCTGATGGGGAAATACAGACGTTTTTTGTCAACGTTTATTTTGTAATTATAAGTATTTAGAGACGGTTAAAACATAAGAGCCGTTGACGTTAACCTGACGTCATTACACCAGTCACAACATTAGCACAGTTGTTCCAACGGACGTAAAAAGACCGAGATTAAAGCAGCAGACAGGTAATAAAACACCTTAAATAACTGTTTAATTTCTCCAACGAGGCACCGAAACTCTTCTAATAGATTCCGTTATTTAATCCGCTATTTTAAAGCATTAAAAGTTGGTTTTAAAGCCTACATTTGACCTAATGTAAGCTTTATCTGCAGTTAGTTTTTGAGTCAGACAAGTCAGCCGGGCGGGGATTATCCGGCTTCCTCCTACCGACTAACAGCAATGATAACAAGGGTGCGCTTGATTTAAGACCCGCTGAGCACCGGAGGACAGCGGACCCGGATTCTACTTCTTATTTTTCTGTAGTATACCTCGGTATATCATCAAATGACAAATACAAATAATCGAATCCTTTATATTTAACCTTTAAAAACGTTTAAGTATATTTTTGAATCTAGTTAAATCACCCAGACTTGTGTTTACACCATAGACTGTATATATAGGTTTACACCTGCATTTATTATATTAAAGCTCCCATTGTGTTGTTTTACATATAATAAGGGAGAATTTTACTACTTATCTTCACAGAAACATTGTTAAATAACTTTGATTTAATGTAATCCATTAATTAACTTGCGTTCTTTATTTACATTTAAAATATAATTAAAAAAATGCCATCCCATTATTTTTTTATTGTTTAAATAAATATTATTTTTTACTAAATATGTTATTGTAATTATTATTATTTAGTTATTACCCTGTACTTCCTGGCTCTAAAGAATCCAGCTGACTTCCCTCCCTGTAACACCGCTGTTTATGTCCCTTTAAAAGCCTCGTGTTGTTACCGGAAGTGTGAGGGGTGTTTCCATCAGAAGCTCCACAGTCTCTCTCCTCTCCTTCAAAAAAGCCCGACTTTCAGCTCCTGTCAGCGGCTACAGAGCTCCCCTCTCCCCGGGAAACACCTGCGGAGGAACCGGGGGATCCTCATGGTCCCAGCCGCCCGGAGATGGCGTCCTTCCCCGGGTTGAGTTCCGAGGATCAGGCGGAGGGAGACGGGTCTCTGCTGGAGATGCTGAAGGCCATCGCGGAGGAAAGGGTCCGGATCAGCGGCCGGCAGGAGATCAGCGGCCTGGGTGAGGAATATACCCGGGAGAGAGGGTCTGAAAGGGGGGCGTTGGCAAAGAGGAAAGAGGCTCTGTTTAGGTTTATATACCGAGGAGAGGGGTCTAATACACCGGGGAGAGAGGGGGTCTGTTAAGGTTGATATACCGGGGAGAGAGGGTCTGAAAGGGGGGCGTTGGCAAAGAGGAAAGAGGCTCTGTTTAGGTTACACCGAGGAGAGAGGGGGTCTGTTAAGGTTTTATATACCGGGGAGAGAGGGTCTGAAAGGGGGGCGTTGACACCGGGGAAAGAGGCTCTGTTAAGGTTTATATAACGGGGAGAGGGGTCTAATACACCGGGGAGAGAGGGGGTCTGTTAAGGTTGATATACCGGGGAGAGAGGGTCTGAAACACCGGGGAGAGGGGTGTGTGGTGAGGTTTATATACCTGGGAGAGAGGGGCTTTAACCCCGGGGAAAGGGGGTCTGAAAGGGGGTCTGAAAGGGGGTCTTTAACACGGGGGAGAGGGGGTCTTTAACACGGGGGAGAGGGGCTTTAGAGAGGGGGTCTGTTAAGGTTTATATGCCGGGGAGAGAGGGTCTTAGAGAGGGGGGACAGGCTGCAGGAGAGCAGGCAACACTGGAGATACGAAGAAGATGGACCTTTATTGATCCCCCGAGAGGGAAATTCAGTTTTCCACTCTGTTTTTGAATATACATGCATCATGATACAGGTTCATCGAATACACGGTTATACTCGTGCACACATGCATGAGAGGATCCAGAGCGGAGAGGCCGCCAGTGAGCAGAGCAGATATTAAGGAGACGATGTGTCTGAGGTTACAGCTGATATACGTTGTTGGGTAGACGCAAAGAGACCCCAAAAACAGACACTTACCCCGGGCTATAAACAGATTCAAAAAGACCTAAAGAATACTCAAAATGTCCAAAAAGAAACACGAAACCACCGATCAGACATGCTGAACGTCTACGATGACATGGAAACAGCTCCTAATATAATGGATAAGTATTATTTTTAAAAACTGATCATGTGACCGACACCAACGAGTCATCATGACGCCCCGAAGCCACTTTCCTCGAACAGGAAGTTACATATCTCCGTAGGGATGTTTTTATTACAGATCTGTATTCTCCTGCAGGGCCACACACACACACACACACACACACACACACACACACACACACACACACACACACACACACACACACACACACACACACACACACACACACACACACACACACACACAGGTTATCAGAGGGTAACAGGTTAAAGTGTAATTCCTCCAGAGATCTGAGAATCAAACCGACGTCAGACGGAGAGACAGCTTTGTTTCTACGGAGCTCCGACGTCACGTTGTTGTTGTTGTTGTTTATATCTTATAAACAAGATCAGAGACACAGTACTCATACTATATCTTTCTAGAAACACTTCAGGGAGATGAGGTTTAATCACACACACACACACACACACACACACACACACACACACACACACACACACACACACACACACACACACACACACACACACACACACACTCTCTCTCTTCAGTGTCTGCATGGTGACTCACGCTCAGACTTTTTAAATATTTGTTGCGGTGTCGTCTGAGAGCAGATTATTTATGGAGAGTGATTCTGTGGTCGTTGCTGAAATGTTGATCAGGTTTTAATCGTTCAAATTCCAAATGAGCCGTATTGATTGAGTTGTTATTGCTGCTCCACGGAGGATGGGACGTCTCTATTTTTAGATTGAGTATCATTTATTCATGTCTTTCTGATTTATTACATATCTATTCTTTCATTTGATTTGTGTATTTTAAAAATGTTTCACTTTATTTCATACATTTTAAATGTATTTCGTATTTATTTATTTTATCTTTTAAATTAAATGTATTCAATTATCTATTTATCTTTTAATTAGGCCTTTTTAATTAATTGATATCTATATGTTATATTCCATTTATTATGTTTTTATTTATTACATATTTATTTATTTCAACCATTTATTAACCACATTTATTTTTAATATTAAATAGGACATAATTACACTTTTATTTATTAAAAAATACCCAGTTTTCATTTAATAATAATAATAATTATTAGTTTGCATTTGAATGTTGAATCCTCAGTGAACCACCTGAACAGGAAGTGCTGTTGGCACCCTTTCAGAATAAAAGCCCCCCCGACACGTTGACCTTCTCCTGTTCCTGCTCTGGTGTTTTCAATTAAATTAAACTAAAGTGGATCAAAGCACACCTCGTTAAGCCTCACAGACACATTCAATTAGATTACCCATAATGCTATTTGTTCCCGTGAAATGTTTTCCATTCATCTCGGTGCAGAAACACTTTACTGAATACTTTGAAGATAAAGATAAATACATTAAAATATATATGAATAATAATACAATGAATAAATGACTACATCTTTAAATAAATAATACTTTGAAAAGGCTATAAAATTAGTTAAAGAGCTAGATTAATAAAACTGAATTATACAATATAAATAAATTAAGGATTACATAATTTAATTAACGAATACCGAATTAAGTGGTTAATATAATGTTATGAAAAGGCTGTTCTGGTATTTAATATAAACGTAAACTGTTGTGTTTTATTCAGGTTTAATATTTATTATCGTGTTTCCATGCAGTTAGTTTTATTATCTAGTATTATACATTTTTATGTTTTTACAGGTTATTTAATATTATATTTTATTATGTTTATTATATTTATTTATTATATTTTATTACACATGTTGTATACATACATATTGTATTATATATTTATTTATTTATTATATATGTATTATATTTTATTACACATGTATTATATTGTATTATATATTTATTTATTATATATGTATCATATTTTATTATATATTATTTTATTATATTTGATGATGTGTCCCCGCAGGCTGTTTTAAGGACGACCGCATCGTGTTCTGGACCTGGATGTTCTCCACGTATTTCATGGAGAAGTTCGCTCCTCTGAAGGACGACATGCTGTTCTACGTCCGCCGGAAACTGGGCGCCGACCTGAGCGACGGAAAGAAGGTCAGCTGATCGATCAATAACATGTGATCTATAACGAGCTGCAGGCAGAGATTTAATTGGTTAGTCAATTAGTGGAAACCTGCAGCTGTTTGAATGATTGGGTTACGGTGCCACGCATTTATATAAACGTATATAAATCCATCATAACAAAGAGTTTTAAAACATTAAATAAGAACACAACCCCATTTGAACTTTTAACCAGCGCTGATTTGAGGGCTTCTGGGAAATTGAGTTTTTTAAATGCTGATAAAAAACACAAATATTAAATAAAAACCTATAAATTAGATTTATGTTTTTTTTAAAGATTACCCTCTCTCTCTGAACACACAGTTCTCTGTTCACACACACACACACACACACACACACACACACACACACACACACACACACACACACACACACC